TCATGTACAAGTATGCAGTATTCAGCATCGTGTAGTGTATTAATTACCGATACCTAAACATTTGTCCTGAAACCTGTAAAACTTGCGGTTTTTGTTTAAAACACAAAACAATAATGATAAATAACGCGAAAACAACGGAAACGCAGAGAGCGACTGAAAGATAATATTGACACTGACAGCTGACAACTAACAAGCGCTTTAAAACGTTTCGTTACACAAAAAAAATCATAACTAATGATAGTAATCGTTTCTTTTATATTTTCGTGATTTCATCTGTAATCATTAATAAATAAATAAATGTTATACATAATTATACTTTTGATATAATATTTTATGTATAATGATATCTTTTTTACAGTTACTTACTTTTTTATTTTCATAATTTCGTACAAGCGATGCGTATGATGTAACGCAAATAGTCAGTGGACAATATGGAAGACGAATTGCAAAAAAGTATTTCCGGGATTGAACTTCTTTTTTTATTAGATTGTAAACCGCAAGTTTAAAAATAAAAATATTTATTGTGAAAAGGTTCCTTATTCGTCTAAATTATTTTCATCAATTTACTTTTTTTGTAAATGATATTATGACTGGGTCAGGATCTGGCATTGTCATTTAATGTCATTTTTATTTAGGGTCAAATATTGAATATGGCTGGGAATTTTATTGTCAAAGCGATGAAATATGCCAACCGCCCGTAGCTGTTGCCGAGCTGTCCGTGATGTAGGTACCATAGAGGTCTGTAGTTTACTATGCAGTCGCAGCTTGAAGCAGTCGATCCTGATTGCTTCAGACAGTCCGTATATGACCCTTAGCTGTTCCCATTCTTATGTCAAATAGTTTTTGCTGGTTGTCTTTTCAAACGTTGAATAGTTAGTGAAACTGCTCTGATCAATTTTATTTATTATGGAAAAATGATAATAAAAAATGTAAAATGTTTGTGGTCATTTCATTTAAGCGCATAAGTCATGAATTAAACTGTCAAACACCAAGCGGTCACCGGTGACCGCAACCTATTGTTCTATAATTGTGTCTATAATGACGGTACTCGACGAGTTAATGTCTCTTGGGCCGAGTTGCAAGTGCCGGTAATGAGGTCTCGGGTTCGAATCCTCGGGTCGGGGCAAAGTATTACTGGGTTTTTAAAAATCTCAATAGTATCACGGAGTCTGGAATTATGGTAATAAGCTCACCCCCTATTACATGGAACTCAGAACATAAATAGTGAATAGTATCTAGGTGTTTCATTGTACATTGGCATTAAATGCCGTAATGCCTACCCCTTCGGGGATAAGAGACGTGGTGTTACAAAAAAAAAAAAAAATATCATCAGTTCACTGTCTGAGGCATGGGATTTGGGTCTTCCCATTCTTCCTCCTTTTCTTTAAAAAAATAAATAAATAAATTGTTTCGTTCTAAAGTATACAATGAATAAGAAATTCTATGGGTCACTCTTTTTTAATCAAGTTCACAATATACAATTCTGTTCAGCTAGGCGATTCTGTAACTGTGAATTCGAACTTTCGAAGTAAAGGCTAATTTAGCCTTTTCCTGGGAAGATTAAAAAAAATCCGCTAGGGGCAGCACCGGTGAGGGGGTACATATGTTTTGAATTCTCTATTAACAACAACGTCAAACGTGTAGAATTAAAATGGAATTAACTGAAGATGATGTACCTGGAGCGAAATTAAAATTTGCAA